TCCTTCTCTTACCTTGTGATGTGCCGGTGCTTTCTCAATTGCTCCATAGCTTGTGTATGAGTAGGCTGTAGTCTCATTGTGCAAGTTCATTCTAATCTTCACTTGGTGATGTGGCGGTGCATCCATAATCACTCCATAAATCATGTATGTATGTGTTGCACTCTCAATGGTGCAAGTTCAGTCCTTCTCTTACCTTGTGATGTGCCGGTGCTTTCTCAGTTGCTCCATAACTCATGTGGATATATGGTGTAGTCTCATTGGTGCAAGTCCAGTCCTTCTCTTACCTTGTGATGTGTCGGTGCTTTCTGAGTTGCTCCATAGCTCATGTATAAGTAGGCTGTAGTCTCATTGTGCAAGTTCAGTCTACTCTACACTTGGTGATGTGGTGGTGCATCCATAGTCACTTTATAACTCGTGTATGTATGTGCTGCACTCTCAATGGTGCAAGTTCAGTCGTTCTCTTACCTTGTGATGGGCCGGTGTTCTCTCTGTTTCTCCATAGCTCATGTAGATGTATGGTGTAGTCTCGTTGGTGCAAGTTCAGTCCTTCTCTTACCTTGTGATGTACCAGTGCTTGCTCAATTGCTCCATACCTCATGTATGAGTAGGTCGTAGTCTCATCGTTCAAGTTGAGTCTAATCTCCACTTGGTGATGTGGCGGTGCATCCATGGTTACTCGATAACTCATGTATGTATGTGTTGCACTCTCAACGATGTTTTCAAGGTGCCATCGTTCACACCCTATAAGTGGCCCCAACGTGGCAACGTGCACAAGGCCCGAACCGCACCCCCCCCTGCCGCCTTGAACGCGCCCTGGACCCTCCGAAGCCTTAGGCGTCCGGGCCGTACGGACGGCCACGCCTCCGTACGTACGTGGCGTACGTATGGTTAGTCCGTCCGTACGGACGCCCGTGAGCAACGCGCCACGTGTCCCGCGCCAAGGACGAAGCGGATAGTCTTCTACTCCGCGCGTGCCGCCGTCGTCGTTCTTGTCGTTTCTCTCTCTCTCTCTCTCTCTCTCTCTCTCTCTCTCTCTCTCTCTCTCTCTCTCTCTCTCTCTC